GGTTTATATATAATACACGGGACCCCTGCTAACAACAGCAAAAAAACAAAAAAACCAATAGTCGTCGCGGAGCTCAACCCGCACGACGCCACGGGCGGGACGTCGCTGGCCATCACGCTCCCGGCCGGCAGCGCGCTGCTGTCCGACTGCCACGACGGCGACAGCATCGCCGTCAACGGCGTGTGCCTGACCGTAACGTCCTTCACGCCGACGCGCTTCAGCGTCGGCGTGGCGCCCGAGACGCTGCGCGTGACGGACCTGGGCGCGCTCGCGGCCGGCTCGCGCGTCAACCTGGAGCGGGCCGTGCGGGCCGACACGCGCATGGGCGGGCACTTTGTCCAGGGCCACGTCGACGCCGTCGCCACCGTCACGGACAGGCGGGCCGACGGGAACGCCGTCACGATGCGGTTCGCGCCGGCTGTCGGGGTCGACGGCGGCGACCCCGCGGCCGTGCTCAAGTACGTGGTGCGCAAGGGCTACGTGGCGCTCGACGGGACCAGCCTGACGGTCACGCAGGTCAACGACGCCGAGGGCTGGTGGGAGGTCATGCTCATCGTGTACACGCAGGAGCGCGTGGTGCTGGCGCAGAAGCAGGTTGGGGATTCGGTCAACGTCGAGGTGGACGTGCTGGCAAAGTACGCCGAGAAGAGTATGGCCGGCTACATCAGCTCGCTCGGCGCCGCCGGGAACCTCGAGAAGATCGTCCAGGGCATCGTGGCCCAGGGCCTCGGGCCAAAGTCCCAGTAGAGGGTACAGCAGGGCTCGGGAGAGGATAAAAAAAGGGACACACGATGGACTCTGGAGAAAGCAAGCAGAGGAGGACAAGTGCCAAAGGAACAGGTATTATCAGACATAAGCTCTACACAGTCAAGCACCACCCCAGACCTCGGCGAGCTTCTGGCTGAATGCCTTGGTGACCTTTTTGCGACCAAGCAGGCTGGCCATCTGTCCCGATACCATCTCGCGCTTCCTCTTCTTGCTGGCCTCGTCGTTGCCGCCGCACGCCTCAAAGGCCTTGACGAAATCGTAGGGCGTCGGCCATCGTTTCTGAATCTCGATGGCCTTGTCGCCCGTGATGCCCTTTGTGCACATGAGCATCTTGAGGTAGACGTCCCTCAGCGTCATCATATCTGACTTGGAAGCCAGGGAAGCGAATGCCGGATAGCTGATGTAGTAGTCCCGCACCGCCGCCGGGACGGGGAGGGCTGCCCCCGTCGCCGTTGCCGCCGCCGCCGCCGCCACATCCTGCTCGCCGCGCAGGTGCGCAAGCAAGGGGAGGTAGTTCTTGGCCGTCAGCACCCGGGTGGGTATGACGTGCAGGGTTCTGGTCTCGTACCGCGCCCTGAGCACGCGCGTCAGGCGGGCGAGGTAGGCGATGGTCTCGTCCATCTTGAGGGTGCGCTTGAGGAAGAAGCCGTTGACGACCTGGGTCGACGCGATGGCCGACTCGACCATGTCCTCGTAGCGCTGGAAGTACTGGCCGTCCATGGCGATCTCCTCGACGATGTAGACGACGTTGCGCACGCCCGATCGTCGGAGCCGGAACTTTTGCTCGTGGAACCGCCCGTCCTTGACGCTGCTGACCAGGTCGTCGAGCCGCTTGCGCTCGGCGATGTGGTCCAGCACGACCTCGTCGCCCTCGGCGCCCGCGCGCCCGAGAAGCGCGGGGTCGTCGCACTTGGCCACCCACAGCGCGTCGCCGAGTTCCAGGCTGCGCATGATGGGCGTGATGCCCTTCTTGGCCAGCTCCTGCTGCATGTAGTCCCGGTCCGTCTTGGCCCTGACCTCGCGCACGTCGAGCACGAGGTGGACCTTGAACGAGCCAGGCGGCAGGCGGATCGGGGTGAAGGTCGGCAGGGAGCTGTCGTCGGACGTCGTCCCAGGCCCGTCAGAGACGACGTCGCTGTACTGCGAGTGCGGTGGCGGCTGCGGCTCGCCTCTGTCCTCGCTTGCTTCGTCTTGCTCCGAGACGTCGTCGGCATCTGCGCGCGCGGCCCGGGTCTGGGCAGGCACGGGGTCCGTCGTCGCTGTCCGTGTGCCCCCGGCGCCTCTCACTCCCTGACGGGCTGGCCCGGCAGCCCCGAAGGAGCCGCCCCTGGCCTCTGATGTTTCTTTTACTCTCAGCGCTACATCCCAGCCCTCGTCCGTCAGGGCGTAGCGTTTGAGCGGACGGCCCCTCTCGTAGACGAGCTCCTTCTGCAACAAACTCTTCATCGAGTTCCAGGCCGTGTAGAACTTGGTCGGATCACTCGGGGCGGTGAAGGAGGCGTCGCAATGTGGCTGGGCAAGTTCGATGAGCTCGGCCTTGGGCAGCCCGACCTGAGCATCCTGGTTCGTCGAGGAGAGAGCCATGATCAGGGCATATGCCCCCGTCCTGTACGCCGGGACATACTCCTTGGTCTTCCTAGGCTTTTTGGGCGCTGGCTCCGAGGGTCCCGCCTCCACGTCCCCCTCGGGCAGCTGCGAGATGTTGGAGGCGGCACGCGCGGCTTTGGACTTTGACTGGGCCTTGGGCATGGGCAGGCCGTTCGTCTCGCAGTGCTTTTTGAGGGCATCGGTGAGGCGGCCACAGAGCCCAGGGCCGAATCCCCGGAGCTGCTGGAGCTGGGAAGGGTGTGTGAAAGTTATGGGGCATGCCTTGAGCGAGTCGTATGCGTGCTTGTAAGTCGTAACGCCCTTGGAGTTGCGCTCGCGGGCAAGCTCCCACCACTCCTTGACCCACTGAAGCAGCAGCGGGTTTGCACATTCCTCTTCCGGCATCACGTCCTGTGGC